TAGCTCTTTGGTTGGGGCGGAGGGGGCGGGACGACAAAGGCTGTTAAGCAGCAGCCCTGGCTTCTACCCACCAGATGCCAGGAGCACAAATCCCCCTCCCCCGCCAAGTGGTGACAGCCAAAAATGTCTCCAGACGTTGCCAAATGTGTGGGGTGGGGGGTGGGGAAGTAAAAGTCTCTCCCAAAGGGAAAGCTGAAGAATCAAGTTTTAGAGACAAAAAAAAATGGCAATCTGAGTCATTCTAGGGTTCTAGACTGTAAGGACTCAATGATGATTGAGTTTGAATCCCAGCTCCTAGTTGTGTGACTTTGGACGAGTTACTTTCCTGCCCTGTGCCTCAGTTTCCTTTTCTACAAAATGAGATCATTGGAATAGATTGGGTTATACGGTGGAAACAAACAACCCCAAGGTATCAGGAGCTTAAAACACAGGCTACGTGTCCAGTGTGGTCAGCCGGGGATCTGCTCACGTTGCCTGCTCCAGGAGTCCCAATGTCCGCCATCTGGACATTGCTGGTCAAAGTGAGAAGATGAAAAGAAAGGGAGGTGATAAGCTGGCTCTTAAATGTGCCTGCCTGGAAGGGAAACACATCATTCCTGCTCAAATCCATTGAACAAAACGAGTCATATGGCTCTACTGAATTTGAAGGAGGACAGCAAAGTAAAAACCTACCACATTCCTAGAGAAAGAAGAGCAAATACGGATTGATAAGTAGCACTAATGTTGGACACAAGTAATAATATACTGACTTTAAGGGGGGTGGGAGGATGGGTTAGCCTGGTGGTGGGTATTGAGGAGGGCACATTCTGCATGGAGCACTGGGTGTTATGCACAAACAATGAATCATGGAACACTACATCTAAAACTAATGATGTAATGTATGGGGATTAACATAAGAATAAAATAAATAAATAAATAAATAAATAGATACTGAGAATGAAAAAATAATAATAATACTGACTTTATAAATGTGTTGGGAAGGGAAAATAATTAATACATACAAAGTTCTTAGGACAGTGCCTGGTATCTATTAACTGCTCAATAAATACTAGCTTATTGTTACTTATTGATTCAGCAAGAGTTTATTGAGCATTGTGAGGGTCAGTTTTATGTGAATCACCCAGTTATTCCATCCAACACTAATGCAGGTGTTGCTGTGAAGAAATGTTGCGATGTGATTAACATATATAATCACTGGACTTTAAGTGGCTTATTATCAAGAATCTGGGTGGGCCTGATATAATCAGTTGAAGGGCCTTAAGATCAGAACCGAGGCTTTTTTTTTTTTTAAGACTTTAGTTATTTATTTGATGGGGGGGAGGGGCAGAGAAGGTGAGGAAGAGAATCTCAAGCCAGCTCCACGCTGAGTGTGGAGTCCAACACAGGGCTTGATCCCAGGACCTCGAGATCATGACTTGAGCTGAAATCAAAAAGCCTGCCACTTAACCAACTAAGCCACCCAGGTGCCCCAGAACTGAGGCTTTTCTAAAGAAGAAATTCCCCCTGTGCATAGCGGCATCAGACGCTGCCCAAGAGTTTCTAGCCTACACCTCATAATGGCCCACCCTCCAGATTTCAGATTCATCCAGCCAGCCCACATTTGCCAATTCCTTGCAATAAATCTCTGTATAGCTTTAACCCTTAATATCCACTTCCCTCCCTGCCTCCTCCTCTCTCCCTACTGTCTTGTTAAACAGCATAAATCCTGAGTTTTATTCCCCACTTCTGGGGTTGACTCATCTCTGGTTTCTGACCTTTTTGTTCTGACTCCCAGCCTCCTTGATAGAAGTTTCTTGCCTTGACTCACAGGTCCTCATCCTCCCAGGTCTTTCTCTCTCTCCTGCTACTGCTCATCTCTTTAGAAGTCTGGCCACTTCTTCCTCTGTATTGAGTGTCCCGAGGGGGCTAACGGAGCTTGGAAGAGCAGAAATTTTGAGCTACATGACCTTGACCTCCTGTCCCTGCTGCCCCAACCCCACTTTCCTGTCTTTAAAACAGACCCAGTTCAAGTCCCTGCTCTTTGACTTTAGGCAAGTTGTGCTTGATACTTTAGTTTACTCAGCTGCTAGAGGGGGGGATCAGGATACGCCAAGTCAAAATATGCCCCACCCCCTTAGCATACAGAAGGATTATTTTGAGCTGAAGGCAATCAAGAAATGGCAGATTTAAGAAAAAAAATATCTCTACCCTCCCCCTTTCTGCCTAAAGGCAGGGCCTAAATTTCCCTTTGTGAAGCTGTCCCCCAACTCCCCATTCCCACACCAGGAAAAGGAAATGGGTTTAACACTGGTACCAACTTGAATCTGCATAAACAAATCTTACTGAAATAACCCTTACCTTCCATCAGTTCCCCCAGATATTTAATTTCTCACCCTCTACTGCCCTTTGAAGCCCAAACCTCTTTCCTTTTTGTTGTCACTTCTCCATAATTCTCCATAAATTTATCACCCTTTGTGAGAATGGTATATAAGCTCTCAGGCCTAACCACTTTGAGGTTTTTTTGTTGGTTTTTTTTTAATACTTAAGCTGAGTTTATTCATAGCATATGAATGATCCTTTGATAACTTTTTAAACAAGTCTTAATATAGTATAGGTTTTTTTTATTCTTATGTTAATCCCCATACATTACATCATTAGTTTTAGATGAAGTGTTCCATGATTCACTGTTTGTGCATAACACCCAGTGCTCCATGCAGAATGTGCCCTCCTCAATACCCACCACCAGGCTAACCCATCCTCCCACCCCACTTTGAGTTTTTATTCCTTTTCTGTGAGATCTTGGTGTGCATGAAAAATTATAAGCATTTTTTTTTTGCATCTTCTCCTGTTAACTTATCGTTTGTCAGTTTAATTTACATGACCCAGGTACCGAATGTAAGAGGATAGAGGAAAAGGGTTTTCCTTCCCCATACTCCAAAATGGGGATAACAGTAGAATCCACCTCACTGGGTGAGGTGAGGACTAAAGGCGATGCTTGTGCGGCACTTAACACACGACCAGCTCATAGCCAGTGCTTGAGAAATGAAAACGTATTACATAGTTACCAATACTAGTCCTATTCCATCCTCAGCCCCGGTATCCTTGCCCCTTAAGGTCTCAGGACAATTTAGAGAAGGCAGAACAGCTGAGTTGCAGAAACTTAGCAGATTTTATTAACCACAAGGCAACAAGCAATCCCCACTTCAAGTCTATCTCAGGAAGGAGACTTTCTAAAATTCAGATCTGTTTTCTTCAAACTCACCCTCTCCCATCGGGTAATAAGACACTTCCATTCAGCAGGGAGCCCAGGGAGCCAGCTTCTGTCTCCCTACTCTGATCCAGTCTCTGGCTCCCCACTGCCAACGTGTTAATCACCAGCCCAGCGGAGGGGGATTCGCAGGAAGCCTTGCGCTTTGAAGTGGCTCAGTTTACCCACACTTTACATATCAAGAGGGAAGAGGACAATCATTATTGGCAAGAAAGATAGGAGGAGTAGCAGAGGTCGAATATTCTAAAGCAATCATTGGGACAACAGAAGGAACAAAAGGAATGACATTATGCAAATGGAAGCCATTCCACCCTTGAGAAGATAATGTCCTCTCTGAACACAAAGAGAGACAGTTAAAGCAGGCCAGTTCATTCCAATTCTGTTTGAATAGTAAGCTTCCTACTGATTAATATTGGGCCCGGGTAGCATCAGTTCTCTGAAACATTAACACTTTCATATTCCTCAATAATTGTGTTAGCCTCGTCTGTATTAGATTTTAAATATTTCACAACATAGGGCGGGAGTCAGTACAGTAATAAATCTTAACGTTTCTCCAAAATAACTCAGAACTGGCTTGAGCCCACACCTCTCCCCTATTTGGCAGGTTTTCCCTGTGTAGCCTTTTGAGGTTACCAAAGCAGGGGGGTTCCGGTGGGGGGGGGTGGTCTTCGATTAGTAAGTCAATCCTCAGGGAAGCAAGGAGGGAGTGTCATTTGGGCTACCTTAGGAGAAAGCAAGCTATGGCTGAATCGGAAGAGCATCCCCCTTTGTCCTTGCACCCCTCATCCATGGGACCAGGACCCTTCCTTCTCTCCACATTGAGAAACCAGGAGAAAGAGAGATCAGAGCTCAACCCTCCCCACCTGCCAGAGAGCAGAGGACAGCAACCACCAGAGTCCTCGAGCGTGGGGCAGCTCAGGTGGCTGGGGCTTGATTTTTGCAGGACAGGGAGAGCAGATTTTAAGGAAAGGACATCTGGGGACACAGGCTGGCTTCAGAGTGGGAGGAAGTTAAGGACAAGATTGAGGGTGTTAAAAAGAGAGCCACAAGGCCAAGGTGGAGTCACTTGCCCCCAGGACAGCAAACCAAGACTTAACTGCAGGTTCATCCTCTCTCCAGAATTTTAAGCCAATTAATCTGGGATTTTTCTGATCAGCACCAATGAGGAAATCTGTCACATGGGCTCTCCTTCCTCCATAGTAAAATGAGGTAATCTACCTAATGAGCCCCCTGCCCTACCCTCTAAGGGAAGGTGACCTTGCCTGAAACAATCCTTTCTTTTCTTTTCTTTTGCTAATAACCTCCCATCCCTCCCTTCTTCCTATAAAAATTTTCCATCTCGTAGGATTCCTCAGAGCTCACTCTACTTGCTGGATGGAACAGTGCCTGAGTCATGAATCACTTAATAAAGCCAATTAAATCTTCAAATCTACTTGGTTGAATTTTGTTTTTTTAACACTTGAGAAATAATAAATCTGACCTTATTATGCTAAAGACACAGCCACCCTTTTCTTGACTTGGGCTTTATTACAATGCAGCCCCACATTTACTGAAAGCGCCTCTCTTTACCCTCCAGATACGTTATTCTCAACACATTAGAACCACCTTAGGAGTTTCAAAAAGAAAAACGACATGCCTATTTCCTGTCTGTAAACACGAACCATACACTTGCCCTTTGTCCTGGCGATTCCACTTGCAACATGCCCAAGAAAAACAAACACACCCCAAAATGAGTTACAGCCAAAGATATGTACAAATATGACCATGGGAGCTTTTATTATGGTAGCCAAAAGTGGAAAACAATCAAATTTCTATCATAAATAGAATGGATTGATACATTGGGACCTGTTCAGTCGATGGAGTGGATTACAGCTGCCCCGTGCACCACAGGTGAGTCTCACAGACATTCAGTGAAGAGAGAGAAGCTAGATCTAAAAGAGTGTGTATACTGCTTGGTGCCATTTACGTGAAGTTCAAGTGCAGACAAAACTAATCTAGGTGAGAGAAGTCAGAATAGTGGTTCCCTGCAGTGGGGGTGAGGGGCAGTTACTGCCTGGGAGGGACATACAGGAGCTTAGAGTGTTGATGCTAGAAAGTTCTATAGCTTTTTTTTTTTTAAGATTTTATTTATTTATTTGACAGAGCACAACCAGGGGGAAAGGCAGGCTGAGGGAGAAGCAGACTCCCCGCTGAGCAGGACCCTGGGACAGGTGGGGCTAGGTAGGGAGAGATAGATGGGGGGGCTCCGTGGTCAAGCTCACAGAAATCCCAAAAATGTGGAAGCATAAGGAAACCAGAGATAAGGGAACACTCCAGACTACCCTGCCCTAGGTGTCCGAGGGGAAGTCTTATTTATGACAGTCTCCCGTGGTCAACAGAAAATAACCAGACCCTAAAAAGAAGTAAGCCAGCGAAGATGTTATCGCTAGTCCCTAATCAATAGTGTCGCCAGTAGAGAAGTCAAAAAGATTTAAGTTCCCTGATTAGCGCTTTTTTTTTTATTTTATTTTTTTTCCTTTTTTTTTTTTATTATGTTGGTCACCATACAGTACATCGGTAGTTTTTGATGTAGCGCTCCATGATTCATTATTTGCGTATAACACCCAGGGCTCCATTCAGTATGTGCCCTACTTAATACCCATCACCAGGCTAACCCAACCCCCATCCCCCTCCCCTCTAGAACCCTCAATTTGTTTCTCAGAGTCCATAGTCTCTCATGGTTCATCTCCCCCCCTCAAGGCCAACCCTAAAAGCCCTCACTGGCAACCCTATTGGGACCCCTCTCACTCCTGAGAGCTTTTTTTCCTGTATCCTTGCTTCATAAAACTCTATCGCTTTACTCACTCTCCTTTATCCGCGAGATTCATTCTTTGACCTCGAGAGACAAGAACTTCACTCTCCCACTTCCGGATCATGACCTGAGCAGAACACAGATGCTTAACAGATTGAGCCACCCAGGCGCCCCAGAAAGTTCTATAGCTTTATCAAATAGTGGTACATGGGTATATATTTCTGTAAAAATTCACTGAGCTGTACAGTTAAAATTTGTGTATTCTATTGTAATAGAACTCCATACAAGTATTTATAAAATTAGCAAAATTATATAAAATACAAAAATGCCTATGGCCAGGACCCTCTTCCCTGAGAGTCTGATTCACTTGACTTTGGGTGGGACTCAAAGAAGGAGATAATTTAAGAGTCCAAGGATTTTTTTTTTCCCTCTTTTCCCCCCAACTTTATTGAGCTATCATCGACATTAACATTGTGTAAGTTTAAGGCATACAATGTAATTCTTTGATATAATGTATATGTTGCAAAATGATCTCCACAATAGGGTTAAATAACACATCCATACCTCGCATAGTCAACATTTCTGTGTGTTTAAATGATGAGCACTTTTAAGATCTGCTCCCTTAGCAACTTGCAAATATACAAAACAGTCTTGTTAACTGTGGGCCCTGTGCTATACATCACAGCTGGGGAGTTTAGCTTGAGAATTCTGCCCCCCGATGAATGGACCTATGCGCAGATAGCTTCTCTCTGACCTTGCAGACTCCCCCTCGCAATCATGGGGAGAAGAGGGAAGAGTCTGGGCACGTGCAGGAACCTCTGGTCGACTGGATGGAAGGAGGCCATTTGGCCTTGAGGCTTAAGGAAAGTTTCTGGCTGCCCTATGTTCCAGATTTTATCGCCAGCTGATCTGCAAGCCAGAAGCAATGAGCGCAGAAGGAAAAAGAGCAGTAGGTACAGGGGAGATCGGCAAAAAGCCCCTGGAAGAAGAGTCAGCCTGCCCAGCAGCAAGTCCTGCCCCACAACCTTAGCTGCCCATTCAAATCATCTAGGGAGATTTTTTTAAAATCCCCGATGATGCCCAGGCTGCACCGCAGACCAATTATATCCAAGTCTCGGGGGGGGGTGGGTGGAGCGCCAGGCAGGTATCAGCATTTTGTAAAGCTCCCCAGATGATTCCATTGTGCAGCCAAGGTTGAGAACCACACCCCCCACCCTCCCCACCCCGACCTCCCCATGCCCCGTGACCACCATGCTAAAGCACAGTGACCTTGGCCACCGTCTGAGAATCCGAACCAGATAGAGTTTTATGAAGCAAGTATACAGAAAAAAAGCTCTCAGGACTGAGAGGGGTCTTGACAGGGTTGCCAACGTGGGCCTCCACCGACAGTCTCTTATTTAGAACGGACCGGGGAGTATTATTCTTGTGATGTCTTGGTTTGAGTAAGGACTGGTGATCACATCTTTAATGGCTTACTTCTTCTTTGGGGTCTGGTTATTCTTTGGTGGTCACAATGTGATTGCCATAAAACCACCCCACCTCTGACGCCCAGGGCAGAGTGGTCTGGTGTTTTCCCTTATCTTCAGTTTCCTTACACCTCAGCATTTCTGGGATTTCTGTGAGCCTGATCATGTAGCCCCCCTACCTATCCCTCCCTACCTAACCCCGCCTGTCGCTTACTCAGTGAGACCCTTCAAATGTGTATCAGTGGGTCATATACTTGGGGGATGATTGCCAACATGTATGGGGGGGGTAGAGATAGAGGAATTGTTGTATGTTAAAGTAGACTTACAGGATCCAGGGGGTCCGGCGAAGATTGCCTTTTTCCCCCTCACAAAGTGTCAACATCCAGGCAGCTGAGTCCCTAGAGGAATGGCACTCTGCCTGCCTCAAGGACTTGTCGATGGGCTGCAAGTAGTAAGGAAATTGAGTAATTTTTCTTCTGCCTTTGTTTCCCATAGCACAGCCGGAGAACTCCTTCCCCGTGCCAACCCTGGGAAAGGTGCCGTTCTAGGTGTTGTGCAACTGAAACACACCCTCAAAGACCCTACGTCTTCCAGCTGAAGGACACAACCCCATGAGCCACATCTAGTGGGCACAGACATTTTTCCACTGTGCTGGATTGTTCTACTGTCAGCCTACTTAGACTGGGGGCCAGGCTTCCCAGAATCATCTTCCCGTGTGGTTCCAGGTTAAGACTGCCAAAGTGAAGCTGAGGGGGGTGTGGGAGGCAGCTGTGAGGCGGTACCATCGAAGGTTCCAGGTGGCAAGAGCCAGACGCAGGGGTGCTGCCAAGTTCCAGCTCACCCCAGCTCTGTTCTTCCCATGTCGCATCTCGTCCTTCTTCCTGAACTCCTTGCTGACCCACAGGGACCTGATCCACCACCGGATGCTTCTGTGTGAATTCACAGAGGCAGCAGCTCCAATGTGCCTACAGCCTTCCATGGGTTTCTGCACCAGCCCCTCCGGGCTCTCACTCCTACAGCTGGACAGGACCCGCTTCCAGGCTTCTCTGCAATATCTGACTCGCGCACCTGTGTCCATGCTTCAAGTGAGCACCTTTTCTCGGACTTCCCTATGCCCTCTTTCGGACTTTCATGTCCCCCAGATGGTCCCATGGTTGGGTCAGGTCAAATTCTTATCATTTCTGATAATCTAACTCTCATTGCGGTTCTGCTTTTCTGATTCCACCCCAACAGATACTCCGTAGAAAGGCAGGAGGGAGCCTCCCAGGATGTTGGAAATGTTCTAAATCTTGATCCGAGTGGTGGTTACATGGGGTCTATATATATATTTAAAAGCTCATCAACTCTTACAGCGCGTACACTTTCCCATTCACGTGCTGCATCTTGAGAATTTTTTTAAAAGAGTGACTCAAGAGACTTCATTGGCCAAATAAATACATTAAAGTGCAACAATATGGAGATGGAATGCAAGCCCTCTGGGGCACCTGCAAGGACCACAGACCCCCTGCCCTAAGCCTGCCTTGCTCACGTCCTCCCAGACCCCAGCCACACCTCTCCCTGCTCCTCCTGCCACTGAATATGTAGCAGCCCTTGCAAGGTCCCCTCCACCTGCTGGCTTTGACAATAACAGATCATGATTACAAACGGCTTTTGACTAGAGAAAGATCTTTGGTCTTCATTAAGGTTTATTTGTGACTGTTCCAATGGTGGTTTCTGAGAGAAGAGAAAGAATGCCGATGGCAATTAGGCTCTCCTAATTGCAGTACTCACTGATTGCCTGTATTAAAAACATTTGAGGAAGTATAGCAATTAGAGCTTCGGGAAATATTTAAAAACAAAGTGAAAAGAGGCCTCTAAGTGCAAGGACACAGAGGCAGCCAGGAGCCCCTTGCCCAGCTGGAGTAGACCCCGAGAAGCCCTGGATGTCTGGGCAGCTCACCGCCTTGGGATGATGGCCATGACGGGTCCGAGGAGAAGGAGGCATGTTTCCACCCAGGCACCCTCCAGAGGCGGCTGTGAATCAGCCCATGCATAGGCAATTTTGCAAACAGGATAATTGTGTCAGGCGCCTGCTAAATCCATACAACCAAGCTACAGCACTATTCCCACTTTAAAGATGAAGAAACTGAAGTTTCCATCTACAGAGAAAGTAAAAAACTTCCCAAGGTTACACACTGCAGGTGGCAGACCCCAACTCAAACCCAGGTCTGTTTGATCTCAAGGCACATGCCCATAACCAGTACATTACTCCATAGCGTCCTCAGTCCCCAAACCCTGATTCCTCTAGCCACCAGCACCCAGCAAGGCAAGCTTGCTTGTGAGTTCACACTACCACATCCCACCAACCCTTTACCATGTCTCCAAGAACTCCCTCCCAGCCACCAAACTAGGTCACAGGTCCCCTTGCTCTCCATCAGCCCTCTGCAGTCCTGCCCAAGAGCTGGGGAGAAGCTCTCAGCCTCTCCCCACAAAGCTCTTTGAGCTCTTGGGGTTTCTCCACTCCTCTTGCCAGCCAAGATCAAGGTTCCAAGGTCTTCCATTTGTCCTTGGAGATCTACCTTGAAGAAGCTACTCGTGATCACCACTAACCTTAAAACATTTACCACCATTGCCCAAACTTTCTTTTTCCTTTGGCCCTTTGGTCCCCCACGACCCTTAAACTGCAATGTAAACAACATGAAGGAAGGGATTTGGGTCTTTTATTTCCTGCTTTAACCCCAGCATAGTAGGTGTTCAATAAATAGTTGCCTTTCTTTTTATCCAACCAGAAATACATTCTCTACATTTCTTCCAGGCATCTCTTGGTACGTGATGCTTTCTTAATTGCCAGAAATGCATCCTCTGTGTTCCTTTTTATCAATCACTTGCTCTAGATTCATGGCTTCATGCCTTCCAACCTAGCCTGGATAGATTTGTATGGCCACCATTAGAGCACGAGAAGCATTACTTCTAAAGCCTAACTTATAAGAAGATGATGACCTCTAGGTCACGGTTCTAGTGCCACCCCAGGTAAAGGTGTTCTCAAATTCACCTGTGTGGTGCCCTGAAGAAAAGGGGTTGTACCACAAATTATACTGTGTCCATCAGGGAACAAGATTAAAACTTTATTTCCATCTCCTAATTGGTACTGTCACCCCAAGAGAAATACTGGCCCATTAAGTAAGGAATGCTAATTGCTTACTCACCTCCTGCTGACAGTGATGACAGACTTGGTTAAGGGTTTTTATTAAGGCCCATTAAAGGGAAGACGATGCGGCAAGCTTCTGGGTTGCTTGGCAGGGAGAGATGGCACAGAGATCCCGAGGGGTGTGGTGGGGTTAAAGTGGAGGAATGTACAGGTGAATGAGGAAACAGGCTTGGGGGAGGGAGGGCTGCAGGTAAGATTGGATTGGCTGCAATTAACATAGATCATGTGACTTTCAAATAGTTTTGAATCTGAAATATGTGTTGTTAATTTAAAACAAACTGAATCCTTATTGATTAATATGCCAGATTCTAAGCACTTTCTATACATTGTTGCATTTATCCTCATGGCAATCCCACCAGGTAGGAATTATTACCAGCCCCATTTTAGGAATAAGGAAAGTGAGGCCTAGAGAGGTAAAGTAATGCTCAGAGTCCCTTAAGTAGTCTATTTCTACATCATATCTCTTGAACATTATATTATGGGAGTCAGGACTGTGAGACTAATGGGCTTTATGGTGTCTGGACAGACCACCTGTCTGTCCCTTGATTCGATCTGAGATTAACTTGCTGAGTGCCTACAATGAACCAGTTCTATACTCTGTACTCAGCACATAAGTAGAGTGTTAGAAAGTTCTCTTGGGGGCGCCTGGGTGGCTCAGTCGGTTAAGCATCTGCCTTCAGCTCAGGTCGTGATCCCAGGGTCCTGGGATAGAGTCCTGCATCCAACTCCCTGCTTAGCAGGGAGTCTGCTTCTTTCTCTCCCTCTGCCTCTCCCCCCTGCTCATGCTCTCTCTCTCTCTTTCTCTTGCTCTCACTCAAATAAATAAAATCTTTAAAAAGAAGAAGAACAAGAAGAAAGTCCCCTTGGAGGGAACTCCTGTGACAAACTGAGTATAAGCACCCATATTTGTGTTACCCTCAAAACCCATGAAAGAAATCTATAACCACATGGTAAAATAAGAAAGTGTCATCAGATGGTCAGAAATTTTAAGTCAAAGTTGAAAACAAGGAAGCAGATAGTATAACAATAAAATGGGAAGAAACCATCACCAAGACCTGCAAGAGAATCTCCAGAGAAGGTAGGAATGTGGGGAGAGGGACTCCAAGCTGCACCTGGATAGAAGAAGGAAGGGTGGGGCCCAGGAGTACTTGTCAAGGTGAGTAACTGGGGACATAAAACAAGGACACCAGCCCTTGTGGTTACAGTGAGGTGCTTACCAGATGAGAGCACTGATAAGGAAGAAGAATCAAAAAAGTCCCACACTCAGATATACTATGGTGGAACCATCAAGAATAAAGAGAAAATCCTAAAACTTCCAGAAATACAAAAAGTTCACTTAAAATCATTGTCCCATATCTGTCTCCCACCTGTTTTTTGTTTTTGTTTTTGTTTTTGTTTTTAAAGATTTTATTTATTTATTCATGAGAGACAGAGAGAAACAGAGGGAGAAGCAGGCTCCCAAGGAGCAGGAAGCCCGATGCGGGACTCGATCCCAGGACCCTGGGATCATGACCTGAGCCAAAGGCAGACGCTCAACCATCTGAGCCACCCAGGCGCCCTCCCACCTGTTTTTATTTTTAATGGAAGAGACTTTAGATTTTGAATATATATGAATTGAAGATAAAGAAGCTAAAGATATGAGAGGGCATCATTCATATAGCATGATCTCTGTTGAGGTGGATTAGGTTGAGAAACTCTTCTCCTCCTCTGTAGCAGGGAAAAAAACCCTCAGAATGGGTGGAGATGCAGCTCAGTTTCAGTGGGATGGGCAGAGAATTGAGAGAGATCATGCTCTGGTAACCTCTGTCTTTCTATTTTGAACAATTACTATGTGTCAAGCACTGTCCTTAACATTCAAATCTCAAAACAACCCTACACACAGAGCCTGGGAAAAAACACAGTGCATTTGTCAAAGGAATAGTATCCAAAATATATAAAGAACAACAAAAAAAAAAAAGGGACACCTGGGTGGCTCAGTCGGTTAAGCGTCTGCCTTCGGCTCAGGTCGTGATCCCGGGGTCCTGGGATCGAGTCCCGCATCGGGCTCCCCGCTCTGCGGGGAGCCTGCTTCTCCCTCTGCCTCTCTCTCTCTCTATCTCTCATGAATAAATAAATAAAATTGAAAAAAAATATATATATATATAAAGAACTCCTATAAATTAACAATAAAAAGCAAACAACTCTATTTTTTTTAATGAGTAAAAGCCATGGACAAAATTCACAAGAGAAGATATACCAATGATCCATAAGCACATGAAATGGTGTTCATCATCATTAGCCATCAGGGTGATGCCAATTAAGGCCTCAATAAAAGGTCATTTCAAACCTATTAGAACAGCTAAAATCAAAAAGACTGACAACCCCAGATATCAACAAGGCTATGAAGCAACTAGAACTCTCATACATTGCTGTGAGAATGCAGAGGGAGGGGGAAAAAAAAAGACTGCAGAGTAGTGCAACCATTTTGAACTATTTGGAAGTTTCTTACAAAATTAAATATATATCAACTATGTGGCCTAGAGATTCCAAGCCTAGGTATTTATGTGTGACAAATGAAATATATATCTACAAAAAGACTTGTAAACAAATGTTTATTGCAACCTTATTCATAATAATTACAAACTGGGAACCATTCAAAATGCCCATCAAGGGAAGGATATGGATCCATCAATGGGTAACAAATTTTGGTATGTCCACACAATGGAACACTGCTCAACAATGCAAAGGACACTTATGTCAACAACATGGACGCATCTCAAAAACAGTATATTGAATAAAAGAAGGTGGTTACAAAAGAGAACATGACTGTGTAATTGTACTTATATGAATCTAAGAATAGGCTAAAACAATCTATGGTGACAGAAGAAATCGATTGAGTAGAAAATGGTACAAGTGACCTTTCTGAGATGATAGAAATGCTTCATACCTTGTTTTTTGGGATGACTGTTACACAAATGTATACAAATGTATACAATAGTCAAAATTCACCAATCTGAACACT